TGGCCTGACTCGGAGGCGTGCGCGATCGGACGGGTTTCTTAGGCTCCGTCCTAACACATCTAACTAGACGACCCGATGCCTCTATCCAAAGAAAGATATATCGAAAAGCAACATGGATTGGACAGTACACAAATTTTCATAGCTTCGTCACACTCTATCAAAAACGTAACCTCATAAGTTGTCTCCTGCAGAGAGCAAGGTGCATCTGTTCAGAAGATACTTTAAAAGACTAACTTGAACCAGTGAGGAGAGGCTTACTAGAAAATGGCTATCCTGATAAGTTTATCGACCGTAATTGGAGTCAACAGAACAAACCAACTAAAATGCCAAAAGCGGATAAGAAAATGATTTTTATAAAACTTCCATTCAAAGGTGATGCCGCTACTGAGAGGGTCAGCAGAGTTTTATCCTCAGCAGTAAGATCTACATTCAATGCCGCTCAACTAAGATGTGTGTTCTCTACGTCACCAAACATCCGCTGCTACAACAAAGATAAACTGCCTATGTTGATCTCATCTACCAATTCAAGTGAAACTGTGGTGCGACTTTTGTAAGTCGAACGACAAGGCAGATATCTCAACGGATCAAAGAACACAATCCACGCTGGCTCGCACAGGGTTGGAGTGGAGCTGTGTCAAGCTCGATTGTTGCTCATCTGGCAGAGACGGGACACTTGGTTGACATGCGTTCAGCATTTACAATCATTTACTGAGTCTCACCACACCCCTCGAGAACAATACGGTTTTGGATGTTAGCAACCGCAGAGGCGATTAGCATCCGGCTCATGAAGCCCGAGCTCTGCGCACAACGTGAATTAATTCAAGCACTCAAACGCCCCTGGCCAGGGGAAGAGAAAATCTTTTTTACGGTAGTAAGCTTGTAAAATCGTTTGTTCACACAACCATGACGGAACACCACGATGTAACGACCCTGGTTATGTGATCCAAACAGCGCACACATTTGGAGTTCTCTTGGGCTCATTGCCAAACACATGAATCATCCACCTTTCTGTTTGACCGTACTGAAATTGTTTCACATAAATGTGATTGTAAAGGCTTGAAAAAGAATTCACCCAAAACATACTTTCGCCTATATTGTGTTCTTGATTTATTTGTTAATTAACAGTAGAACCTACACTAATTACTACTCCGAAGTTCGATCGTGCAAAACTAAACCAAATCTGTAGATCTGCACGTACCTAAAAATCAAAGGCATAAAAACACAGACTAACCAGATTCAATTGGCTTGGGGTTAATGGAGTCGATTTGTTCTGTTTGACTGCATTCGAGATCATCCCGTTCTTCGCCGATAGCTTCCGCCAGCATCTGACTTTCCCGCAGATTATCATGTTCGTAAACCGCAGGAGTGACCGCAACAGACGACCGCGGTGTATGTTGACCGGGACTGGCCGATACCGGTGCTACTTGGGCCATGCGACCAGGTTCGTTAAGGGCTTTTTGAAGTCGATACAGATCGGATTCAAGCAGACGAATCAGTTCGCTCTGTTCCTGTGCTTGTTGGCGCGATTCGGTCTCATATTGACGTAACTGATCCAACTCGTCTGAACGCAAGAAAAAAAGATAATAAGGAATGAGAAAATTTTTCTAGATCCACAAGAAAATCCACGACTAACCGGGGGTTCCTTATGGTATATGGCAAATGAGGAACGATTATACAGAACTGATTGAACCTGTGTCACACTGAAGTTCGAACAGACCCCCCCCCACCCACTAGATAAATATTAATGCTGAAAGGGATATATCGATAGAGAAGAGAATCGCTAACTTTTCCTGGTCAAAAAGATACCGACCGTTCAGTGTCTCCGCTGTCCTACCCAAAATAGCAGTTAAATGTGATGATTGTAGGCAGCACTTTTGTTGCAAGAAACCTATTCTATTGGTATTGTATTGCATTGTCTTGTGTACAACTTTTGCAAGTACTGAAGCTTACATTGAGCTATGTAGCTCACCATCTAACACAAAAAACTCTGGGGGGAGGGGGGACAGATTCGTACATAGACTAAGAGTATGCAGATGATATTGTCTTACTCAGTAACAAATCCTGACCACGAAACTCCCTCGCGTTAGGCTTTCTGGATCGGGACCTCACGATCAACGTAACTGACAATTATAAACACGGAGTGTTATGGTTATGCCGTAAACAGTGGCGCTTGTGAATAGTAAACAGAATTTCCTTGCAATTATATATATATATGACACCAATCTTTACAGATGCGGCGCCAAAAATAACCATGGGTGATCGAAAAAATACAGGTGAAAAAACGGGGATAACAAAACAGTCAACTTCGGGGAGTAACAATTTTTTGTTTGTTTACTGCACGCCATTTTGAGGTTTTTTCGTTTTTGTTTAATTTTGGGGTTGCAAACAGGAGAGAATGCATTCGCGCCACTGACTTCGGTTCGATGCCATATCTCGCAGTCTCCGGCCAAAGACAATCTGAATCTTTGGGGCCCCAGTCGGGGATCCGGGAAACCCCAACGGTAGCCAGATCCGAGCACAATCTCTTTAACCCTCTGCGCCACGTCACAGCCTGCTCACCTCGCTGTTTTTTCCAGCCTGGACCGATGTCTGCGAACAGTGCACGGTGTGGCAGACGTTGGATCATTCGTAGGAAGTGAAATTATTTTGATCAAAAGAAGACTATCTGATCCTAGTACCCGTCGTCTAAGTTCATCGTTATTCACGCGATGCTCCCACCATATGCGGGCGATGATGCGCGCGTCCATCCCGTCCACAGCCGACAGCCGTCCGAGTTCACCACGGTTCGTGGAGTTCTTCTCGTGGGTTGACAATCCATGTGCTACTGTGCTTGGTGCATGGTTCGCACCTATAAAATGTGGAATGTGGCCACAATCACGGGCGATTCCATTTCAATCTTTTTATCTGGGTCAGTATGCCATTTTCAGATTTAAACAACTACACTTCCCCTAGCAGGCGAATCTCAGACACGATAACCATAGAATACTCGGTTGTTTTTAACCCCTTTTGTATCAACTATAACGCGGAAGCGATGTATGTATCTGTTAAAGTTTGGCTAAATCTAAAGCCAAAGACCAAACTCTGAAATCCACTGCCTAGAATCACAAGGTTGACTGGGACCGAATAAAAGATCAAGTCTAGATAATTCATTGTGGTAACTACAACCAACTTCCTGTAAAATGAATAGGATGACCGGCAAAATGAGAATTCATGATCAGTCTTGGCGAGGAAATCCTTTATCCATATAACCAGTAATATCGATTCAGCTGGGATAGTTCGCTGACTGTCGAACATGCACGAACCCACCATGATCGAGAGTTTCTTGAAGCTTGAAACTCTATTAAACAGCTCCATAATCAGGTGTGTTCACATAGAGACAATTTTATATAGGCAGCGATGAAGACTGTATCAACAGATTTAGAACTTTGACCACGGTTGCATACCTAGACCCCATCGACTTCGGAGGGTTTCCACTGAATTATTCTCACGCTATTCAACAATTTTTATACAAGTGTTTTCAATAAGTTAAATAAAAGCAGGAACCATTGAACCAGAACGGTGAAAGACGCTAAAACCCAGAGCTTCGGATGACAAAATTCCTCTTGCTTAATATTCGAAAGCTAAACCATAAGCCAACAGGGAGGGGGTAAAGTAACATCTGAAGAACACTAGTCCGAGCACTTTTGAATTACTTTTTAAACTAATGTTTCTTTACTATTCACCTTTCAAACTTATCACACACACACAATGATCTGTTGATTCACAATGCACCATACACTCGAGA